CATGCCTCTCTAATTTTATTCTATTGTCTTTCGCTTTACATATTCATGTGTAAATTTGTTCTTCTACCTGTTTCACATGTCTTTAGTATTCAGCACAACCTTGTTTTCTGTTATGCACATAACATAATATCAAGCCAGAAGTAGAGATTAGAGGTCACCATCTTTATATTCTTTTAACAGAAGCAAACACTTTAACAAATTATTTTTATGTATTATGCATTTGACGCTGTATTTTTTCATCTTGTTTAAGGAATAAGTCTTTATAATAAAAATTATTATTTGCTGTATTTTACAAAGGCATAATTTTCATTAATTGTAACAATGAAACAGCGGTGATCAGCAGTGACTTATTGAAGAAGCATAGGACCTTTAGTTCAAGGAACATTTTTCACTTATCTAGAATGTTCTTTAAAGCCACCAAAAACTTAGCAAATCAGTCCTCTTGTTTTTGAAAAACAATGGCGGTTTTTACATATAAACTAGACTGGCCGATGGCGCGTTATGGCAGCCTCGCTTTTGTCAGTCTGCCCCAGGGCAGCTGTGGCTACAACTGTAGCTTGCCTCCACCAGTGAGTGAATGAATAGTGGAATTGTACAGCACTTTGAGGGCCCCAAAAAGCGCTATATAAATGCAATCCATTATTATTATTATTATTATTATTTTAAAAATTCAATTCAATTCAATTTTATTTATATAGCGCCAAATCACAACAAAAGTCGCCTCAAGGCGCTTCATAGATACAGAGAAAAACCCAACAATCATATGACCCCCTATGAGCAAGCACTTTGGCGACAGTGGGAAGGAAAAACTCCCTTTTAACAGGAAGAAACCTCCGGCAGAACCAGGCTCAGGGAGGGGCGGGCCATCTGCTGCGACCGGTTGGGGTGAGAGAAGGAAGACAGGATAAAGACATGCTGTGGAAGAGAGACAGAGGTTAATAACAGATATGATTCAATGCAGAGAGGTCTGTTAACACATAGTGAGTGAGAAAGGTGACTGGAAAGGAAAAACTCAATGCATCATGGGAATCCCCCGGCAGCCTATGTCTATTGCAGCATAACTAAGGGAGGATTCAGGGTCACCTGGTCCAGCCCTAACTATATGCTTTAGCAAAAAGGAAAGTTTTAAGCCTAATCTTAGAAAGTAGAGAGTCTGCTCCTTCCAAACTGGAAGCTGGTTCCACAGAAGAGGGGCCTGAAAACTGAAGGCTCTGCCTCCCATTCTACTTTTAAATACTCTAGGAACAACAAGTAGGCCTGCAGAGCGAGAGCGAAGTGCTCTAATAGGGTGATATGGTACTACAAGGTCATTAAGATAAGATGGGGCCTGATTATTTAAGACCTTGTATGTGAGGAGCAGGATTTTGATAATTCTGGATTTAACAGGAAGCCAATGAAGGGAAGCCAATAACAGGAGAAATATGCTCTCTCTTTCTAGTCCCTGTCAGGACTCTTGCTGCAGCATTTTGGATTAGCTGAAGGCTTTTCAGGAGTTTTTAGGACATCCTGATAATAATGAATTACAGTCGTCCAGCCTGGAAGTAATAAATGCATGAACTAGTTTTTCAGCGTCACTCTGAGACAGGATATTTCTAATTTTAGAGATGTTGCGCAAATGGAAGAAAGCAGTCTTACATATTTGTTTAATATGTGCGTTGAAGGACATGTCCTGGTCAAAAATGACTCCAAGGTTCCTCACAGCGTTACTGGAGGCCAAGGTAATGCCATCCAGAGTAAGAATCTGGTTAGATACCATATTTCTAAGATTTTCAGGGCCGAGTACAATAACCTCAGTTTGTATCTGAATTAAGAAGCAGAAAGTTAGCGGCCATCCAGGTCTTTATGTCTTTAAGACATTCCTGCAGTTTAACTCATTGGTGTGTGTTATCTGGCTTCATGGACAGATAGAGCTGGGTGTCATCTGCATAGCAGTGTAAAATGTATGCTATGTCTTCTAATGATGCTGCCTAAGGGAAGCATGTATAATGTAAACAGAATTGGTCCTAGCACTGAACCCTGTGGAACTCCATAATTAACCTCAGTGTGTGAAGAGGACTCTCCATTTACATGACAAATTGGAGTCTATTAGATAGATATGATACAAACCACTGCAGCGCAGTACCTGTAATACCTACAGCATGTTCTAATCGCTCTAATAGGATATTATGGTCGACAGTATCGAACGCTGCACTGAGGTCTAGCAGGACAAGCACAGAGATGAGTCCACTGTCAGAGGCCATAAGAAGATCATTTGTAACCTTCACTAAAGCTGTTTCTGTGCTCTTCAAAATTCTAGCCATAGAAGAGCAAGAGATGATAAAGTTGCCTACATGAACACGCAGTCCAATCTAAAGAAAAGTTGACTTTCAATCAAAGCCAAAGGCATATTTTCTACACTATGGATGGCTCAGCTTTAAGTTCATTGCGTGAACCTTCACTTCTCTATCCCAGCTATATTCAAGACAATTAATTTGGAATAATGAAGGTTGTGGCTGTTCCAAACGTCCAAAAACACGGTTTATTATGAGGGAAAGTGGACTTGGCCTGTAGTGACTTAATTAAAGCTTAAAGAGGACCTGTAGCTAAGTGTTGGTAGACGATCGACAGCGAGTATTTAGAGCTAAGTTATTAACTAGCAGACCTACCTTGAAGCTTGTTTGAGCCAACGCTAGCAATCTTTCCTAACTGTTGTTAAACCTGCGAATTATCTCTTTTAAAAGACATTATTGTGGCACATTAAATTTACCCGTTCCTGCATGATAAATTGGAGCATCCACAGTTTAACTATAACGCACTAAGTACCGCAGCAATTTCCTAATGTTGTAAACCTGCTCAACATTTGGCAATAAAACCCTTTCTGATTTCTGATTTCTAAATGGCAGAAAGAAACTTTTAACATCACATTCATTCAACTAGGAGTGGTTGATTCACCAGAATAGGGATATCTATATCAGTGCATTTAAATCCAAATCCATTTTTGCACAAATTTGCTTAGCCAAAACGGTTATTGTACACATTTATTTCCTAAAATTTAGGCCCAGTGGGGAATGCAGATTAACTTCTTTGATTTCTTTGTTCTTTGGTTTGTCATCTGTTTTACAACTGGATAGTTTATTATGTACTCAAGCTTCTCTAAATAGGTTATGACCGTACAGTCATTGGCTGTGACTCCCTGTGATATGTTTTACCGCTCCGCTTTGATAGATGGCAGCAGATCTCTGGCTAGAGCTGCAAATGGTACACTGAGGAAGAAGTGGGCGTGGGTTTGCTGGCACTACAGCGCCACTTTTGAGCGGTCGTTTATGTTGTCAACAATAACAGACCGCTGAAGTTGTCAAGCAACGTCGAGGAAAAGTCATACATCAGTCCCGCGACGGTATAGTCTTTAGTTGGGTATGAAAGTACATTATATTATTTTATTTTGATTAAATCCAGTTGTGTAATGCATGAAGGCACAATTAAAAACAGCAGCTCTAGACCCTGATGCTGACATTGACTGCTAGCATAGACAGTCTTTGGTTGCTAGGAGCCGAGCTGAGCTAACGCAATTGGTTTAACCTTAGCGCTCTGCACTTAATGAGAGAAAGCGGTTACACTGTGCATAGATAATTGGTGACGATTCAAAATCAGTGAAAGTCAACGATTAGCTTTATTGTAAGGTTAACATTGAAATGTTAACGAAAACTTGTGATCTGTGTATGATCTTCAGATGAAGGGCTGGTTATGGCTTGGCTTAATAGTGATAACTGGCCATCAGTTACATAACAAAGCTATCGAAATATCTTGATAGCTTATTTTTTCCGCGGGCCCAGAGGAGGCACTGGCTACCCCCCCCAAAATTTGCTGGCACCCCCAGTGGCTCCCCCTGACTGCCCTATGTTAGGAATAATGTAATAAGGGTGCAGAAAAGCTGGTGTCTCTTAATTAATAGGCTGGTGTGAAAAATTGCTGCCACACCGCCCCCTCGGCCTGTGCTTCGGGATTTCTGGTAGTTAGACACAGTCTCAATGGAGATTTTTCAATGGGTTTTTGGGGGGTAGCAAGAGGAGAGAAGCTGCAGAGAGGCGTAAGACTGCAACTCTGCTTCCTGGTCCCAACTCTGGTCATATTTTGGGGGGTTTAATAAATTTGTCCATATTTCTAGAAATGAGAGCTGCTCCATCCAAAGTGGGATGGATGCCGTCTCTCCTAACAAGACCAGGTTTCCTCCAGAAGGTTTGCCAATTATCTATGAAGCCCACATCGTTTCTGGACTCCTCCAGAATGCCACATCAGTACGTGAGACTGCCAGGAGGTGTTGTATATGCTTGTTTGTGCAAGGAGGAACAGGATGAGCACTGCCAGAGTTACAAAATGACTTCCAGCAGGTCACCGGTGTGAATGTCTCTGACTAAACAATCAGAAACTGACTTCATGAGAGTTGCCCGAGGGTCCGATGTCCTGCAGTGGGGCCTGTGCTGACTGCACAGAATACCAGAATTGACAGGCCAATCACTGATGCCCTGTGTATTTCGCCATGAGAACATGTGACAGACATGTGCTCAGGGTGAACCTGAGAATCCATAGAAAACATTATACTGCCTGTAACATTGTTCAGCATTGACTGGTTTGGTGGTGGGTCAGTGATGCACTGCTCCAGATTAAGGAGATCTCCCAGTACACCATCCATCGTCTCATTAGGACCATGGGTACCAGCACATAGGGACAACATAAACTACAGAGTTTGAGATGCTGCAATGAAATTTTTGGCAAACATTCGTGGAAAAAACATACAGGAGTCACATGTCAGCAGATCCACAGTGCTTCGGAGTGACATGTGAATGAAAATATGTGAGCATTAGGACGTGTATTAAAGGTGCCCTCCACTGTGTGGGCACTGGAGACAGATTTAAGGACAGACTGCAGAGATGTGTATGTGTAGGTGCCGTTCTCATTTATTTTCCATGTGCAAACAAATGGATATAAGAGACCATGTGCAGTCAGATTCTTGACGTGTTTACCTGAGGACCTCTTTGATTGTGCCTTTAAGAAGTGGTGCCCCCTGCAGGGCTTTGTGAGGATCCCCACCAGCCTGTGCCCACGACACCCTCACCTGCTGCCTAACGCTCTCCTGCACCTCAGGGTTGCGTCCCAGCTCAAACAGAGCAAACTGCAGGGGTACTGCTGTCTGAAGAGAGGATAGGATGAGACGTGACACAGAATTAGGTATAGAGACCCAGGCTAAGTCAGGCTATCACACATATTGGCACACACACACACACCAACACACGCACCGTATCCACCCCTCCAGCCATCAGCTCAGTGATGTTGGCTTTGATGAGGTCCAAAGATAGCTGCCCTTTCTCCATGAGTTGCCCCAGAACTCCAGTGTACTGGCTTCCAGCAGTCCCAGCCGGAGATGCTCTATCCAGGGAGGTTGACAAGCGCTGGTACCCCCTCTGGATCCTCGCCTCCGCTGGAAGACAAACAGTCAGGTTGTGGAAGTGAAAGGACAAAGAAGCATGCTGATGCTGATATGACGCTCTTGCGATTATGGCCCTTTCCTACCATGACTGAAGATGTGGTCCCAAGCAGTGGCGTGCTGGGTCCACAGGGGAGCACCCATGCGCAACAGTAAGCGAGGGGGAAGGTAGAGGAGAGGAGGAGTGGTTGTTAGCATTCGCTCCACGGCCCAGATGAACTTCTGAGATTCCAGGGAGGGGGATGAGGAGAAGAGGCCAATACGCTCTCCGTAGAGCACGTGGCAGCTAGCTAGAGAGGGAGGAAGGGAGGAAAAGAAAGAGGTATAGGCGGGTTAAGATGAGATAGATGACTGATGACCTAAAACATGAGCAAGCAAAGGACTTAAAGATAAATAAACTATTAAACTTCATGGAGGATTACATTGACCTTTGTCTTGAATGTCTCTATGTGTCATCAATTTATTAATCTTTTCCAAATAACAGTTAAACAATTTCAAAAATGCACTTTATTTTTTCTTATTTAATGTAAAAACAAACAAAAATAGACCCCTTTTAATATAGATCTCCCCACGGTGCACATGATGTTTCCCAATCAAACATGTTCAAGTTATATTAACACGACATCAGCGACTGGAGTAGAGTTTCTTACTCCGGCTTAGCACTTGGTTTCTTGTGCTGGGCTCCATTAGGAGCAGAGCAGCGTGACTCAAAGTCATCAGCTCTCCCCCCCTTCCCACTCGCATACACACAGATGCAAACAAATGTACACTGAGTCATACAGGCTTTCACACTTGCGAACATGGAATACAGCAGATAGGCACATGAAAGGAGCAGACCTGCTGAAATAACGCTGGAGCTTTGATCATCTTTGTTGCCATTTCTATTTTTAAAGGTGCATGTTCTCTTTGACCTCCTACACCCAGAGTACGCTAAGAGACGCCTGGGGATAGGATGAGGTTCGGTTCTCATGTTAGGTGTGAATATTTTAGAATTAAAGGACAGAGAGAGCAGCAGCACTGATCTATTTGCGTTTTCATCTTCTTCTTCTTTTTTTTTGAAGATTTTAAAGAGGTGATGCTCCTGCAGATTGTGTAATTCCTCTGACGTCAGAAACTGGCGCAGCTTACATCAGCATTTGTGAGTCAATGCATAGACCTGATAGTTAGGCTGAATGAAAGCCTGTCAAAACGGGGAAGCGACATGAATCCGTGGCCTTCCATCCCTCGGGGCTTCAAGGTCGATCACTGCCGCATGAAAAATTAGACTTGACATTTATGGGATGTTTCTGTCAAACACCCATCATTTCACACCTCTCCACACTTTTCCAACATAGAAAAAGAAAGTCTACTTTTTTGGCTTCATTGTAAATAAACAGGAATTAATGAATACTCATTTTACAAGCTGTAAAATGACACTTAGAGATACACAAAGGTCTCATATCATGGGGCTGATGACCTCTAACCTTCCAGTGCAAAACGAAAAAGGTCAGGACTGGGATCGATGGTAAGAACGCATTTTCCCTTCTCTCCTCTTCCCTCCTTTTCCATTCTTGTCTGCAGCATTTGACAGAAATCCTTCGCCACCTCATCAAGGAGAGGGAGAAAGCGTTTTACTGCTGCACTCATCATCACCTCCTTGTTCAGCTGCAGACGGTCAGCTCTCCACTCTTCCCCATTCCTGTGGAGAGAAAGGTGCACGCTAAGCATTAAAATGAGCTTATTTCATATCTGCTCAGTCACTGTGAAATAAAATAAGGGCATCGTGTTCAAGTCTGACTCCCAGTCAGACTTATCATTGTCTAAACATGAATTCAAAGAAAGCCAGATTGAGAGAAGTCTCTTTTTTTGGTGCTTGACCTCTTCCCAACCACACGTCTACCTTTACCCAAACGTTGCAATAGTTAATATGCAACAAAGAAAGTTTTCATAGGACACGAGATAATCAGGTGCAAAAATAAGTACACCTTTACTGCTTCCATAGGAATGAGGAGTGAGCTGATCTGGAGCAGTCAGGTGTGTTAACACAATGCCACAGTCCTCCCGGGACTGGATGTCCCTGCAAATTCACCCCAAGGTCAGATTATGCAATGTTCACAGAAAAAAACCAAGAGATACATCTCGTCTCTACATTCGTCTCTCTAAAAAAGAACATGACAGCACAGTTTAGGTTTGCAAAGTTAAATCTGAACAACACAAGGTTTCTGGAACAATGTCCTTTTGGAGAGAGTAGAGCTGTTTCGCCAGAATGCACAGCACCACATTTGGAAAAAAACAAACTTAGTAGATCAGCACAAACGCCGTCTGGCGCGGTGTTGGAGGCATGATCTTTGGGCTCGTTTTGCAGGCTCTCAAATTCCCACAAGCAACTGAACTGAATCGATTTTGTAAAGAAGATAGGAGGAAAATTCCCCCACAACACTGTGAGAGAGTGAGACAATCATGCAAACACCAACACAAAGCAAAAGTCATTACTTGAAGTTGTGGCTGCTAAAGGTCATTACAAGCTACTCTGTCACAGGACTGCTCAGAATCCAGGGAAAACTTCCTTTTCCTGAAGACAGCGGGGGATTATCATGTTTAACAGGTACAAACACGTAGCTAACAACTCGTCACTCGTGACAACAGCCATCTTTAAATAGCTGAATTATATTAATCAGTTCATTTAAAGTGTATAGCATTTTCTTAAAGGCACAGCTCTTACATGTGCAGTTAAACCACAGCGTGTTTCTGTGGTTGAGTGAAAGCAAATTAAAGTCGGTTAAAAGAGAACTGATGACTTTGAAAATTCTGATGTAAAACAATAAGAAAAAATAATTCACTGTTTGAATTATGAAAAATATTTCAGTCCACTGGGATTTCTCAGCCTAGTTTTGGTCTTTTTTTAAAGTCGCATGAGAGTTCCAGCTTTATGGGGGTGACACTAAATCTGAATCAGTGGTTACAAACTTCCAGCAGCCTTTACCACTCAACCCTTTACAGCCATGAGTTTTTGTGTGCGTTTGCATGAGTTTAAAAAACACAAAACTATAATTTTCTGGCAATGAGTTCATGGTTCAGGATTTAAAAGCTTAAAATATTGAAAATATTGAATTAGAAAATGTCTGAATGCACTAATATTAGAACTTTTAAAAGGACCTTTATGTCAGAACCAACAACCGAACAACACACACAGTATAAGGATGTCTAGAGACCTCTTTTTGTGTATAATTTTAAATATTATATATAATCTCTATGGTGACCACAGCCTTTGCAGTGCGCTCCATTTAGTTGTTCTAATGTTCCAATAAGAAATGAGAAAACTTCATCTTTTGCTTTAATTTTGCATTTTCTCCTTATAATTAGAATCTCATTGGAAAAGCTGTTCTTTTAGGGCTGAAATTTCGCTGCATTTTGTTGTTGTTTTATGAACAACCTCAGTCTGCTTTTTAAAGTCATAATTATTGCTTGTTATCTGTGTTTCACACCAGAGTGCTGTACCTTCACAGTGATGTTTTACCATCTCTCAGTCAAATGTATGAGCAGGAAGCAACTAAGAAACTAAATGATGAACAAAAACTTTCCACGCCTGATTAAATTACCCCCCCACCCCCCAAAAGACACGATGATGGTACAAGTGATTACATTCATGTGCACACACTCACATGGAGTTGTTTCCATCCCTCGAGGGAACATTGAAATGATTCAGTCAAATTTTGACTCTTAAATTTTAATCAGTAGAATAATGGGATTTTACCCACGGAAGGGAGAGGAGTCTCTATCGTGTGACTGCTTGCACAGATGCATATCACCACTTCACGAGTAATTTAAAACACACATGTGGAACTGACTTGAGGAAGATGCCCTTGCTGTGGTTGCGTATTTCCCGGTGTGTCGCCCAGGGCTGCAGGGTCATCCGTCGGGGGTGCAGACCCTCTGACTTAAAGAGCTCACTGACGTCAGATGGGAGCATGATGTTCACGCTGCTTAGGGTGCCGAGCTTTTCTCTATTGCAGTCACACAGAGAGACAGAAAGGATATTTGGTAAGCACACGAACATACTGAAGAACGTTTTAAGCTTTGAACTTCCCTCTACCTGTAGATGGGTCCGAGCGTGTTGAAGGTCCTCTCCATGTGCTTGTGAAGCTGCTGGAAGCGATTTTCTCTCCAGAATTTCAGCAGGTTGAGCCATCCATTCCTCCCAGTGTGAGGGATCTCCTCAAAGCGCCGCATCCCTTTCACTACTCTTTTCCCGCCTTCTAGCTTTCCATGCATCACAGTCCCTGTTGCAGTCACACAAAGACCCTTATGAGGTGCGACACCAAAAAACACATTTCTGGACCCACAAGAGCCCTTCGCTTTGATACCCGCAGTCACTCGTGTGGACATGCTGGCTCTGGTCTGAGTGAGCTGTGCCAGGCGGTCTCATCCAGAGTTGTGACACTTCTTGTTTGGTGTCGTCTTTGCAGGGCTCATTCTTTCCCTCCTCCAACGCTAAAATTCACCCTTGAATGAGATTTCGTGCTGACAGGAGTTTGATGATTTATAAATCTGAGCATCAGAGTTCAAGAGAAACACAACAGAGCCAGAATGTCAGGTTGACTGCACAAAAAACAGATAATGGGCCAGTATAGCTTCCCGAAATGTGTTTTATTACAAGTTCAATCACAGCAAATCAGCTACAAACAAACAGACTAAATGGCCACCTTCGTAAGTGGTTTTTTTCTCCATCCTGTATAAAAGCCTTGAATTTATGCACCAAAATAAGCTCAACACAAACAAAGCAGTTATTAGAAACTAGCAGATTTGGCTCATACACATCACCGATACTGTAGATGTGATGCAGAAAGGACTCAGTATAAAGAAAAGTGGACAAATTCTAACATAATCACACAAAATAAGAAAGTTTCATGTTGTTTTGTTGCCCTGAGGTTCCTCACTTGTGTATAGATCTCTTAGTTGGATCTATATCATTTAGACCGACAGCTCTGCGTACTAGCTTGGCTTCTATTATAAAAAAACTAAACACGGTGTCCGAGTGAAACATCACCAGGACAAGATGTGCCCTGTTTTAACATCTACAACTATTGATTTAGTTATATAATCACAATATAATGCAACAGCTTATTAAAACAGTATAAAATCAACATATTCAATGAGGAGAAAATTCTTCAAGGACTGCGTAAAATCCCATTTGTACTTTCATTGTCATGTACTGACCAGTAATTCAACACCTCATAATAATGTTTGAGTATATCTAATCAGTACCTAAAATAAGCATTTTACACTGGCGTATTTGTTATTATTAAGTAAAACAGGTGACTTATTCACCTGTTACAAGTTATCAGAGCTATGTAAGAAGAAAACTGACTTCAGCTTACATAAAAGCAGCAGTCATAAATTCCCATATGCTGTTCTCTTCATTAATAGAGTGTAATAATCATTGCTGTGACTACATATTGATCACATGATTTTACAAGATCCCCCATTTGCTGGTGCAGGAGTAGGCGTCCCGCTGCGTTTCCTCCCTGTGAGGACCGCTGTGCTGAAGCTGAGGCCTTGAAAGGCACTCAGCAGGTTGAAGCCATCGTCCTTGGTTTTGGTTTCAGGATGAATTATTGTCGATAGCTCGTGTGGGAGCGACACTTTGCCTCCGACTGACCTCCGCTGGTTTGTGTCCTTCGTGTTCTGAAGGATGATGGAAGAACAAATGGGTTACAGGATTGAACGTGCTGCAAAAATAAAAATGAATAAATAGCTCTACATCTCTTATGTCCTTGGGGCGACCGTGGCTCAGGGGTTGGGAAGCGCATCTGTAATCGGAAGGTCGCCGGCTCGATCCCCGGGCTCTCTGTCCTGGTCGTTGTGTCCTTGGGCAAGACACTTTACCCTACCGCCTACTGGTGTTGCCCAGAGGGGCCGATGGCGCGATATGGCAGCCTCGCTTCTGTCAGTCTACCTCAGGGCAGCTGTGGCTACAACTGTAGCTTGCACATTCACACACTCCACCAGTGTGTGAATGAATAGTGGTATTGTAAAGCGCTTTGGGTGCCTTGAAAAGCACTATATAAATCCAATCCATTATTATGTTGCAGTAACATACAAGTTGGCACACATGGATAATGCCTGCAAAGAGTAAGCCAACTATTGTATTGTTGGGGGTTGGCTGTACCTCTGCAAAGGCTGCAAACGCATCTGAAGTTATAACAGTTTGAGTTTTAAGGTTTTTTTATGCAGTATAACCATAATTGCATCAAGATGCGCTACATCTTGTTGATGGAGAAGTGTTTGCAAAAGGAAAAACAGAAACTGCATTGAGATTGGTTTATAACTACTGAGCTACAGACATTAACATGATGTTTAATGATGAAATGAAAGTACCCAGAGAGAACCCACACAGACATGAGAACATGCAAACTCCACACAGAAAGACCAGACTGGACTAGAAAGTCAAGATTTGAATCCAAGGCCTTCTGACTGCGATAACCACCACCCCACCGCACTGCCCTTTTTTTCTTTTTTCCTTTCATGATTTCATTTTTTTTCCCTGAGGATATTTATCAAGTAAATACTTGATAAAAAAAAGTATTTACTTCTCATCTTCTCTCTATCTTCTCATTTTCTTTGACCCAAGCAAGTTTCATTTTGAACTGGTAAGAATTTTTTGGTTGCTGAACCCTGAATCCTAAATTCAGAAGAATTACGCAGCACATTTTTGTGGTTATTTGACATTTTATCTAAATTAATTCAGTGAAGTTGGAAAAACATTATATTTTGAAGAAAATTAAAACTGGTGTGTGAGAGTAGTGAACAGAAGGATGCAGCGTTTTGTAAAGTTTCAATTCAACTCTGTTAAAGAAATAAAATAAAAAAAACAGTACCGTGTATAAGGGGAAAACTGTCCAATTTACACAAAACTAGAGGATAAATATTGTTATTTTCTTCCAAACACAGACCTCAGGCAGCTGATATTTTCTCCTGAAATGAGCTCTCATCGCTGCTCTCTCTGCATTCTTCTGGGCCTTGGTGGCTTCCCGCAGCTTTCTGTCAACACAGCAGACAAACATAAATACAGCTCAGATATCGCAGGCAGAAAATAAAAATCTCTCTGCACAGGTGACAACAGTTAACGCCTTCGTTCATCTCAGCTGCCTCCTGCAATGAGAGCACAGTGAGGAATTGACAAAATGAGGTGAACTGAGGGGATTGATTTCAGTTTGCAGATGAATTACATGTAACTCAGGCAAAAACTTGATTTCATGTGTGTTTAGAGTCTTTTTTCCATTTTCACCTGGAAATGATAAAACGCCTGTTCATATAATGCATCCAAGAAGCAACCCTGCCTGTTATTTGTAATGGCACAAAATAATGATACTACTCAGGTGCTTGTGCAGCTTTGTGGTACTTGTGGTTTCCATTTCTGACGCCCCTCCCACTGTCTTGGAGGCAGTTTGTGGTGACACTACACAGAAATTGGCTGATATGGGCGGTTAGTTTAGTTTGTCAGTCGTTTCATTGTGTTTCATTTTTTATTTCTTCTCGATAACAATTTCTCATTTAGATTCCAAAACTATGAATTGTGATTTTTAAGCAACATTTTCACTGTAAGAGTGCTACTTGTAACACTTCATGTTTACAAAAGCACCTGTTGCTACTTTTACTTAAAGTATGTAAATACTTCCTTCACCCCTGCATGACGGTTTCTACATCACATACAGAGCATTACTTGCCTCTCCTTCTCCAGCTCTGTCTGGTACGAGCAAATGATAGACAGATCTTTGGGATATGCAGCTCGGGGGGGAGACGTTTTGCCCAACTTGACACATCCTCCTCGACTCCCACTGCCTCTCCCTCTCTTGTTCCTACGTTTGGCACACAGCTTCTTCCCCTTCAACTCCGACACACAGCTGGTCAGCTTCCTGATGGGCATGCTCAGGGAATTTTTTAATCTCACCACAGACTCCATGATGTACCGCACACACACCCCTATTTCCTCGTCAGATGACAGGTGAATTTATGGTGGCTTTCGCCTTCCCTCATGTTGTGTTGCACTGACACGAGAAAATCAGGACACGCAGTCTGAAATCTCACAGCAATAACTCCTGCCAAGGACAAGGACGGCAGTCAGACAAGGCTCAGACACTCAGAAAGGTTAAACACACTGATGGAGAGTTTATCATCTAGATCAGGTTAAAGAGGGCAGTAAAGCAGAAAAACGGAAACTACGTGATGACAAAACATGAAAATGCCAAACTAACATGCTGAACAGACTAATTTTCAGGGTCTATTACCACTGATTTACACACAAACATGGTTTACCATGCTGTTCCTGTCCACGGTTATCTTACCCATGCAGGTGGCCACAGTTGGCCTAAGGCTCACACCATAAAATCCAGATAAAGGACCCAGCCAGATGGCCTTCACCACCACCAGCCAATCCCTAAAGCTTTTTAAAAAGTGGGGAAAACAAGAATAAAAAACAGTAGACTCTCCACGAGATATTAAGCCTGCAACTTCCTGACCTTCACAGGACAAAATCACTGTTTTCCATTGAGGTTTCAGCCTCTCCTTCCCTCTTTCCCTCCTACAGAATCGTTTTCACATTTCACTACCCCCAACTCTGCCACACAGATTACTACCTAAGGGACTTAATGAGGGGAATCTCGTTAGCCGTGGCAGGGAATGCACCTGATGAGTCACGTGTCAGGGGTGAAGCTTTAGACGTGATGTTGAGTGACACACCCATGCATTCACAGTAAGTTCATATATTTATAGACTCATTTGTCCTCCTGCGTAGCTCCATTTAATCCATGTTGTTTTCATAGTTTAGAAAATGGGAGAATAAATGCAACAGTGACAGTTTTTTTTTCTTACAAGAATGCTGTTGGTATTTATTTCACTAAACATTCGTGGATTAAAGATGACTAAAGATGGGGAAAGAAGAAATGAAACTTGGATGGAGAGAGTCCGGCCTTAAAGAGAAGTATTTGAGTCAGTGGGAGATCAGAAACGTACTGACAGCTGGACTGTGCAACTGTGCAAACTGTCAGAAAAGAGGGGACAGAGTGGGGTCACCCTCCGGTCTCCCTCAGTCTCTCCACCAAACAATCAGTGCTGAAGTTTGTTTAAAGGGAGAGCATAGTTTCCTGCATCATAGACTTTTTTATCCACAAACACAGTTTTAAAAGTTGCAGTGTAATACATTACCCCTGATTTCTTTCTTCTTCTTCTTTTTTTAAAAAAAATATATGCACTCAAAAAAGGATTTCTCACCCTCATTAAAAATTGAAGCAAGAATCTTGAATAAAACACAACATAATATAAAATCAAAGGGTTATTTATGTAGTAATTAACCATTAGGGGAAATGTGATCGATATACCAAAACAAACTAGATTCCAGTAAATGTAACATTTTACCTTCTACTTATGAAACAAATTACATGGAAAATTTACATGCAATCAAATTACTTAAAGACAGCTTCCCAGCAGAAATATTATCTGAGTGAGGCAGAGGGCATGAGTGTGAAAAACAAAACCTAAAAAAACAACCTTCACCGGGTCATTTCTTTCCTCTCTGTTCAGTTTCACTCTGTTCAGTTTCACTTAGGATCACTACAGACAAAGAGGATTGTTTGTTATTAGGATTGTCACAGGTGTAATAGGCACTCCTGTAAAAGCAACTCGTTAACACGAATATCTAAGCAGCCAGTCACGTGGCTGCACCTCAGTGCATTTAGGCATGTAGACACAGTCTTTTAATGGGAGATACAACACTGAAATACACACAGAGAAAAACAACAGCAATTCTAGCTAGTCACAGTATCACATATTTAGCAAATATTTTATTAAATACCCCCATTCAACGACTAATTAAGGTAGATATCTAATTGCCAATCACATAAAAGCATCTCAGTACAAATGGAAACACAATCCTTTATTAAGTCAAGGAGGAGCGTTTGCATAAAGTTATCCTTCCACTGCTAAAACGTGAGATTGAACCAGGGACCTAACGTTCTTCCAAATGAGCTGTTTCAGCAGTTCTGTTTGTGTCTGTTGCTGCACTTTACTCCAATGGTATCCAAAGTCATTGGATCTCAATGTGCATTGTACAGCCAGACAATGTTACCACATCAATATGAACCAAAATCTCTGGGGAATGATTGCAACACCATGTTAAGTGACTGGTCTGTGCAATTATCAGTGTTGTCATGGTGACCTACAAACCATGTGCAAACAGACCATGAGGCAGGGGATGGGCCAAACTGATTTATTATAAATCTCTGATGGAAGCGCAGAGGGCCAGGGGTTGCCAGCAGGCAAGAACAAAGCCAGATGTGGAGGCTGAACTGATGGCTGAGAGCCTGAAGATGCGAGGGAGAGGTTAGTGAGCTGGCTGCTGAGAAAGACACTGAAGCCAGAGCAGAGGAGGCTGCAAAACACTAAAGACAGGATGGCCCTGGGAATCTATCCAAACATTTAGCAAAAGTGACAAGAGGCATGGTCACAAAAACACCAACCTGGCAGAGTGGAAACATCAGTTCTGAGGATATGTAGTGGTCTCATTTGAAGAACTGACTGCAGCTGGTAAGGTTCTGCTTTGACCCCAACACACCTCTTTCAACAACTACAAAACGAGCAGACACATCCCTACAGAGAAAAGGAGAAAGGGAAAGAGGAAGAGAGAGACCTCTGAAAGTGATAGAAGGTCAGCCTGACCCAGAATTAGATGCTGAGGGTGAGTCACTGGCTCAATGTCTTGTACGGCTGCTCTGGGACTTCCCTGCACTTCCATATGAGTACACAGAGAGCAGCAGCAAGTCTCCCCTTCAGTGGCAACAGGTATTAATTATGCTGGACACAGAATGAAAAGAAGGAGCTTATAAACAGCCTAATTCTCTTCCAATGATGTGCTCTCCATGAGACAGCAAATTAGGCCTGACTTTTCTGCTTCCTGAATTGATGCTGTGTTTAATTCATTTCATTTCCACCAACTACAATTTGCAAAATATTTTTACCAATAACTATCATTACTACTAAAATGAGGAAAAAAGAGTTTGAACATGGCTTTAAATGTTATCAATTGTCTCCAGTTTCTAAAAGTACATTATAACGCACTTATCTGCTTACAACACCATGATACATTATTTGTTAAATATAACTATATACTACTGTTGAATGTAAAATGGGGTTACTTAGATCTCCGTGTGTCCTTTTTTTCAGAAATGTGGCCCAGCTGTTCTCCTGATTTCTTATTTTGGCACACTTGTTTGAATGTCTTGGAACGACTCCACAGTGAGTTTTATGCTCTCTGACCTACTCTAATGCCCTACTTGGCACCGAGAGCCCATATGTACACTTCAACCAACCTGTTTGAAGTCCCTCACTCATTTCCACACCCCTCTCCCCTTACTCTTCCTCCTCTGGTGCCCAGAGCACTTTAATTTCTAACAGGTGAGGAAGCTTTAATACTTTAACAAGATCACAGAGAGAAACCACGCCCCCTACCCCAGAGCTCATGCAGACCTGAGATCTGTTTACTAATCCAAAGTTTTGCCTTTTACTACTGAAGATAGCTCGAGGTGGTCCTGTGTCAGCTAGTACAATTCATGAACAGAACAAAGGGGAAACATTACTGAACATTTCCATGTTCATATTCTTCAGGTGTGTGTGTGTGTGTGTGTGTGTGTGTGTGTGTGTGTGTGTGTGTGTGTGTGTGTGCCAGTGTTGTTTTGTCACATGTTGGACACTGATCTCCCTGAAAATCCCTTAAGTGGCTCTTTTTGCTCAACACTGGTTGACATTATAACTTAGCACGTCACCCTAACCTTCACCATCACAGGTGAATGCCTCTGACCCTTACTGCAACTTAACCCTGATTCTAACTTTTACCCTCAGTGGTGTGGTTGTTAACATGCAAAAGATCCTGAGAGCAGAAGGCGACACAAGCTAGTTTACTTCTAGTTCTGATCCCGAGGATACTGTGGCGACCACTTTGGAAACAAGGAAGTGTTTGGAAAAACAAGTGTTTGAGACAAAAATCAAGCGTAGTAATGCGATATTTGCATGTATCTATACAGGAACACTGAATTTGAATATTTTAATAAATTAAAATACTCTCGGAATACAATAAAAAATCTCATGCAGCACCATCCTGAGACAACGTTAGCTGAGTAAACCTACATTAAATTAACTCAAACAACAAACCATCCCACACTGGATACAAGCAGCTTGACAAAACCTCATTCCTAATTCAGAGCAAGCTAATGGCTCAGTCACAGGAGGAAAAATAGAACGGCGACCTCCTTCAATCAACCAAAAATAAATAAATAAATATTGGCTGCCTGGTGATTGCATTATTTTTTTTTTTACATTACTGCTGCAACCTGTGGTGACTATTCAATTCAGATTTATTTATATAATGCCAAATCACGACTCCAATCACCTCCAAGCATTTTACATTGTAAGCCAAAGACCCTACAATAATACAGAGGAAACCCCAACAATCAGATCTTAGCAACACTTAGCAACAGTGAGGACTAACTTGAATTTCAGTAAAAGAAACCTCAGGCAGAAGTAGACTAGTCTGAGGGTCGACTAAATGGTTTCCCATTATTATTACTGTATTATCAGAAACAAATTACATGTAATTGCCAACTTGACCCCATTCAATCGCAGACTGATAGCAAACTGACTCCCTCTTATGGCGGGTTTTAGTAACAGTGCTGGCATGCTTGGAAACAAAAAAGTGAATTGAGATAACTATCTTATTTGATAAAGAGACGATGACAAAGTTTAACTCTTAGGACATAATTTGCAGTTTAACAATAAGGTGATGGATCCTTTAAATATGTTATTGCAGTACTCGGTATATGGCGAAATGTTATAAATGTCAATGATATCGTATCTTGGGGTGTTTGGTGACTCCCACCTATATAAAAAGCAATGAGGTCCTCGGTTTTTCTCCTTATGGTGACAAAGGCCGATGTGGCATCGGGTGAACTGAGCCTCATTTAGATGACTAGACGAGTGTTTACACACACCTAGACTGATACGGGGAGATTTATAGATCACGTCACATGTGCACGTGGGGTTTTGAGACTGTCTTCGGGCTGCCAGCTTCTACCCAGATCCACAAATGTAAGCAGCATTCACGTACTAACAGAAAACTGGGACATTTGGGCTTTCTGTGGAATTCCCCAATTTAAGATTACAGACGCCATATAGGAGCCTAGATGTAGTCATTCTACATCACCTGGATTAAATCTATATTTAAAAATGAGCAAGAGTTATCCTATACTCGCTTCAGAGAAGGAGCTCTAACTGACCGTTTTACATCAGAAGAACATCCAGCAAGCAGTGCAGGTTATTTAAACCATATATCAACTTTCACAGGCTATTACTCGTTTTCTAGTCGAGGGATGATATATGAAAAACACATGAAGCTCAGATGTCCCAGTTCTCCACCCTCACTTGAAAGCAGCTTACATTTGGCAGCTTAAAAATTGTCTCCAAAATCCACGTGCACATGTGACGGGATCTGTGCGTGTCACCGGGGATTTATACTTATGTGTAGGGATGTCGTAACCCCTTCCCCCGAATCCTACGACGTCACCAGACGTGCACCAGCTTACTGGAAATGTAAGTACAGGTGGCGTCGAAGGAGCTGGCAGCTGCTGTGATTGGACTGTGGATCCCTGCTATGCATTTCCGGCTACCTGTTCGCCGCAGTTTTTGAATTTATCACCGAGAATAATAATAATCATCATCACCTCAGTATAAAGACTCACAAACCTTGGATAAGTGAAAGAAAAAGGATGGATGGAGATGTTAGGGAGATAGTTTCGGCAATCAGTATGGATGTGATGAAATATACAAAGAAGTGGAAGGGGGTCGGGGTCGGGGTGGCGAGGGACAAAAAATTAGCCCCAGGGGGAGACAAAAAAGCAACTGACCACTACAAAGAGTAGGGACCCAAGAGGGGGAAAGCCCCGGCATTTAATTTGTTTCCATCGTGGCTGACACCGCATATAAAACACCGGGACAGACGATAAGGTAATTACAGGGAACACCACGCAAAAGCTGGCAACTACGTCGGTCAGTTACGTAGCTTACGTCGTCAGCTGTACAAAGGTTCACCGCAGAAGTGATGATTAGACTTCTGCGATCAACAGGCGATTCGTGCACGGCTATTTAACGAGCTGTAAGTGAGCGAAAAGAACATCGCAAGTATTTGTAGACATTTGTGCGCGCTGGAAGTTGAAAATAAAAAGCTAAAATAGCAGATTTGTGAAGTTTAAATTATTACTATTTATTCGCATGGAATCTCTTTAGATTAATCTGTATTTGTGTTTCGATTGGAGCAGGTATTTGCCAGGGCTTACAATTTACGCACAAGTGGTTGTACACTAATCTTGGTTCAGACTTGTGGGTCGGCAGCTGATCCGTGGGATCCAGACGGGACGGGAGGAAAAACCAGAACAAGGCAAAGCAGGAATTTCTGGAGTTTCTTAAGGAAAAAATGACTAAACCTAATTACTCCGGCACCTATCATATGGTGGAGCAGGAGAATGTGGACGCCTACCTGACAGGTTTAGGTACCAGTCTTTATGCAGCATATTTTATAGTATTATTACCATCAAATGTTTAACGGGTAAAACCCTCTCATTTAACATTCATCTTTCATGCGTTTATCTTTAAATAATTGTTTATATGTTGACTGATTCATAATCTTCAGTGTCTGGTTTAGTGATGTGGACTATCTACATTTCCAGCAGCACATTAGTGTAATGAAATCACCACCTTTGACCCACTTACACCCTCACAAGTGTGTGTTCACTCCACCTGCAGTGTCTGAGGTAGAAAAGATCCCCCCATAAGTGTGGCTTACAAAATCTTTCCCTCTTTTCTCCCAGATGTTAATGTTGCTTTGAGGAAGATCGTGTGTATGTTGAAGCCCACTAAAGAGATCATCCATGACCCAGAGACAGGAGCCATGAAAATCAACACAATCACTACCTTCAAGAATTTCAGCATGGATTTTAATATTGGAAAAGAATTTACTGAGGACCTGAGGATAGTGGATGGCCGTACCTGTCAGGTGTGTGTTGTGTTTTTTCCAAAGTTTGCTTTGAAGGTTAGGTACTTGAGTAAAGTCTGTATACTTCCTGCTGGGATTATTCCATAACCACTCGTTGTTGTTTAAAAACCCAGAATAAGAAACAGTCAGCTCCTTCCCAAGTAACCATTCAATGATGGGCTATGATGATATTCTTCAGCTGAATGCTAAACAGAGACGACTCATATCCCAGATTTATGAACTTATCAGTAACCTTAATCCGTGCTCCACTGACCGTCTGAGACTGGGACACTGACTTGGGGATAACTTTAACTGATGAGCCCTGGAACTCTGTCCTAAACTTGGTGCGCTAATCATCTGTCTTTGCTGGTGCAAAGTGTTCACTTAACTAATGCTAGATTAGTAAGGATTTATCCCAATGTTGACCCGAAATGTCCTCGGTGAGAGTCCAGACAGCAGATCTGACACACATGTGTTGGTTGTGCCCGGGATTGCCCTCCTTATGGTGAGGAATTTTTAAAGCATTTGATGAAATGTTTAAAATGTAATGTGACCCTGAGGCGGGGTTTGTGCACATTTGCCAGCCAGGACTCGTGTTATTGTGGCTTTTACCACTTTGCTTGTAAAATGCTTGAGTTTTCAGAAGTGGGAAGTGTGTCATGGCCCAAACAGAGGAGGTTCCTCTGTTGTATTGATTTGATTTATTGATTTACTGATGCTCATCAGTCTGGAGAGGTTATAAAACCATCCTTAAAGAGTTTGTCTCGACAACAGTGACAGTGTTCAGGTTACTGAGTCTAACATCAGCAGAACATTAAATGGCGATAGAGTCCATCGTAGCAGCGCAAACTCGACCTGCAGATTGCTAAAGATCTCACTGGGAAACCAGAAGGCTGTTTGAACTCGAATTCATGTATAGATGATGCTGAAGTAGAACTTTTTTTAGTATGAAATAAGAAGTCTTGTGTTTGGACAAAGGAAATGGCCATGGTGGCGTCATGTTTTGGATCGGTTTTTGTGCATTTAGTCTTAAACAACTGGATGAAATCTGAATTACACCAGAAAAGTCTCAAGGAGGTGACAGGACCCCTGTCCGTGGATTAAATCTCAGGAGGAAATGGATCATAAAACAAAAACATCACCCCAAACTCACAAGTTGTTCCACCAAAGTGATGTTAAGGAGATCAAAGATGTTTTGGAAAGTCAAAGCCCAAACTATTATCTTTAAATGTTCTTTTTTTTTTTAGTTATTGCTGTCTACAGGGTGTCACATGATACAAAAGATGCAAAGATACAAAAATATTGGATCATTTTTTATCAGGTCCAACTAATATATTCATGTAATTTTTAAACAAATATCTAAAATCTGATGTTTTTGGTCACATCTTTGAAAAAATGAAGTATATTTTAAAGGCTCCATGACCTTTCACGCATCACTGTATTAGTCTCCACCCCTTTTTTGCTTTGCATAAAGCTTCTTGTCTCTTTGTGTGGCTGAGTGTTGTGTGAGCTACTGTACATGCTAATGTTTCACACTAACGGCATCTCTGTGGTTACACAGACTACAGTAGATTGGGACGGCGACAAGCTGGTTTGTGTACAGCGAGGCGAGAAAGAGGGACGAGGCTGGACGCACTGGCTGGAGGGCGACAAGCTGCATTTGGTAAGGATGTACGAGGGGAAGAAGAGGCCAGTGCAGAGAGAAAGCAAGGAAGAGGGAAGAAGGAAAATGAAAGCTTAAAGGGAAGTGATGGAGAAATTGATATGCTAAATGAGGGAGGGTATTCAAATAAGGCAGGTTTTAGAAGTTATTCATTGGCTAATTCTGTTACTGTCTTTGTGAGAAAAGGTTTTTATTAAGAGGTCTGTGGAGTTTGTATGTGCCTAAAAGGGGAAAGTCCATCACCTAACAAAGGAGTACACACAAACTGAATGCACAAGTGCTACAGAAGCTCAGAGGCACATTTGTTCTAGAACAGTTAAAACTCATAGCTTATCTTTCATTGCTGGTTACGTTTTCAAACAGTCAGCATTCTCCCACTAAAAAGCTCTCACAAATTTAGAGAAAGTGTTGCCGATGCTAAACTCAATATGCTGGGGAATACCAGCGACGGTTTCAGAGGTTACACAAAGGGAACAGTGAGGGACTAATGAAGAGGTGGAGGAGGAAAGTGGGAGCGGGCTGAAAAGACCTGATGAATAGATGTGAAAGAGTGGAAGACGGATTATGAGGTCAAAGCATGAGCTGGTGAGGGGGGTGTTCTGGACAGAATCCCAAATGTTCTTGTTGCTTCTCACCATTCATTTACACCCTCTCACCTCATGTTTTTTTTCCCTCTTCTTCTCCGTCTCTTCTCTGCAGGAAATGAGAGTTCAAGGCGTCGCAGCAAAGCAAGTCTTCAAGAAGGCTGAATGAAGTCACTGAAAATGTTTTACAGTCAATAGTCTCATTTTAAAGGTAGCCGGTACGAGAGTCGTGTATATAGCATTATTTATTAACAATATATTTGAAGTACAACAGCAAAACTGAATATTTGTGGAAAAAAACATTGTTCTGAGAGAAGAGAGTTGTAGAGCTTTTGTAAAGGTCTTTCCCTATGTTGCACAATCTTATAAAGAAGTGGTGCATCTGTCATGTTTCTTATTTTAAATGATAAGGTGTATGTGTGTGTGCGCGTACGTGCGTATGTGTGTGCGTGTGTGTTTCTGCATCTTCATATCTAAAGTGATTTTTATGCATTAATGCACTGGAACCCTGAACTTCTACAGAAATTACCAAATGGAAGTGCATGTGAAAACTGTCTGGAACAGTCTGATCGGACGCTAGCTGATCTTTAACCTCCGGCTTCCTGGTTCAAAGTCCGCGTGATGTCACATTGCGCCCGTGTGACAGTAGAACACCTAAATATGCATTCACTGCCAGTGAGTGGGCGTCATGCATCCTGCCTCTTGCACTCGCTTTCAGCATTGCAAAGGCTGAAGAGGGGAAACTGGCGAGTACACGCTCGCGCTCAGCAGAGTGACCATGCTCTCTGCTCAGCTGCACTCAATCAAGATGCCAGAGGAGGGCTGAGTAGTGTGTGAATGTATGAGTGATGAACTGAAAGGTTGCAAGAAGGCATCTGAATTAATTCAATGACTGCAGGTGCTATTTTATGCAAAATTTATTACAGAAAACATCAAAATTGCCATAAAGTGACTGCAAGCACAAAACTGAAAGGATCATACATCTTCAGCTTTTAAATACATCATGTCCTCCAAATGTTAGAGACGTATCTGAATACATTTTATTTTTTCCCTTTAAAATGTCCAATTTTAGAACATGTTTCTTTTATTAGCATGAAGACAACGTCTGTTGTGTTTGTTATAACCATTACTACATCACCTGTTTCCAAACTTCAGTGTTTTTGCTAGGGTGACCAGATGTCCCTTTTTTTGTGGGACGCCGCAGCAGTTTTATGACATCTCCCACATACAGAAGCAAAGTCCCACATTTACACTGCACTTTCCTAAACTCTGTTTTGTTTTTTGTTATTTTTTAGCCTTCCCTGAGTTTAAAGAACGCAGGGAAGGCTTTTTATTATATTTAACTGGAGGTTAGCAAGAAGTCACCAAAAAGTTAGCAGCTTGTTTAATCTGATGGAATCTACCACAAAGAAAATGATTTGGCAGTTTATACTGAGAAATAAAATTTTTGTCTCTTTAGATAAAATTATACTTCAATTTCTCAGATGGGGAAATATGGCACGAAGTGACACAGTGCATGTGTGTTATAACTGACTAGAAAAATCGTATTTTTTTTTTTAGATATGGCTAATATAAGAACATGAATCGTGAATACAGGGTTAAATAAGGACTACTGCATCAGTTGATTTGCTTGTTAAGGTCAGTTCTCCATTAGTAGTTTAACGTTTGGCACCTGCGCCATTTCTTCATCTTTTTTCCTCCAATATAAAAAGTACAGCATAAAAAAGTAAAAGCAAATAACTTTTATATTTTTCAATTGTTTCCTTTTTTAATGTTATATATAATTATTTTATTTGTTTAATGTTTTATATAATTAAAACTACACACTAGAAAATTACACTTAAAAAAATCACATTTATTCTAATTAATATCTAGAGACTCATTACCTCAAAATAAAATGCTTCTGTTCTGGAGGATACATTAAGGCTGAGACTGTTGGATTTTTATAATGTCACGTAGGTTGCATTTGTCAAGTCTTTCCATACTTAACAAGCTTGTAAACAATTTTAAGACAATTTTAACAGAAACATAGAAAAGCAAACAAACATAAAAATAATATGCTCAGAAAAAAATTGCTAGCACCTTTAGACAAACGTGTCTGCTAAATAAATTTTTTCCCCTACTTGAAAGGATGATGCTTCTCTTTTCTCTCTTCCAGCTCAATCAGCTGTAACTGTTCAAACTTCTTTTATCTGAGAAGCTGCTTACAATGATGCTTTCAGACTTTCTCTTTCACTGTTAGCTGTCATTTCAGTGTTTAACTCAAATAACTTAAACCTCTTATTTTTAAAGCTTAAATTACAAATAAACTTGCAAACACCCTCACCATATGGTCCACATATGGTTAAGTGTCTACCAAAGGTCATCTGCTCATGTCACAGCTGTTCCTCCACCCCTGACTTCTTCCTGGATGATGGAGGGGCTGGAAGAAAGGATGGCACAGAGCGGAGGAAAGAGAAATACGCTTTGAGGGCTCGTACTCCAGCATCCTCTCTAGGAGATCGAAAAAATGGTGGTGTTCTCTCCCGTGTGATAACAAGTATTCCTGTAAAACAAGGAGAGAGACATTATATTCAAATGGTGGGCCCCGAGCAGATAATGCTTATCTGTGGTCCGCCTGCCCACGGCTCACCCTTAACGGCTTGCATTTGGATTTGACGTAGCGTCCGGCTTTGGAGCACTCGTTCCAGTCTAGATGTCCACGGTGGAAATACTTCTGCTTTCTGAGAATCAAAATGAAGAGTCGTCAGATCAAAGTGTTTCAGAGTTTGTGACAATGAGAGGGTGCACGAGCGGGATACCTGCTCCTCTGAATCATCTTCTGAGGAATCGGTCCCTGTACTCTCTCTATCATAGCAAGATGCTCCTTGTTGTCATGAGTCTGTAAGTGGACACAAGAGGAAGTAAAGACCATGACAAATAAAAAGACAAAGTTCGTCTTACTTTTATGTCGAATGTGTGACCTGGAAGAGTGTGAACCCTTTGTAGTATTCAAACAGGATGCAGCCGATACTCCACACATCACACGGTTGACTCCAACCCAACTCTGTGGAAGAAGGAATAGCTTTGTTACCAACTGGACTGGGCAGGTCCTGGATACTCCCCGAGCTAAAATGACATTTCTTACCAAGTATGACCTCTGGGGCTCGGTAGTGACGAGTAGAGATGATGACAGAGTGGTGTTCGTGGTCAAAGGTGGCGCTGCCGAAGTCGACGAGCCGCACCGCGGTGTCGTTTACTTGCCTTTCATTGCACTTCTAAATGGGCGACAGGTGGAAACACTGTAAACCCTCCCAACTTCGCTCATTTAAAGTATAATCTTTGTATTTTCCTGCTATTGATGATGCTTTGATAAAAATGATAAAGAGCATTAGGCTTGCGCTAATGTGATGAAAATAACAAAAAGTTATGAACAATTTTACAATACTGCAACACAGTAGGACAAAACAAGAACGAGTCTATCAGATTAGAAAAACAGCAACAACAAAAACGCTACTATCGGCTGTTTCCATGTGGACAAGGGGTCACTGTAGCTGGTAGCTCTGCATGTTTGATTTGGTTGCGTTTTACAGCAGATGCCCTTCGTGACACAACCCCACCAGCAGATAAACCCCCTTAATCTCCCACTTCTTTTTTGGTTGGATTAAACTAATTAGATTAAACATCTCAATCAACTAACTGAATCAATGTCTCACAACGTCTCATTTAACCCAGTTAACCTTAAAAAACCCTGCTTGGTGGATTTAACTAATTCCAAGAAAGTCAACAAGCTTGTTCTCCCTTTTTTGCTAAATGCAACACTGTGTCTCCACTTTGGTCTTGTCTGTTCACAGGACATTGGTCCAGAAGCCATGTGATTTGTTCAGATACAAACCAAGCCATGGTGCCGTCATAAAGTTTAATAAGCTTGGACATCCTGATTTAACAGGAAGCAGTAAGGGTGTATTTAGTTTTCGTTTTTATGTGGCTGTGAAAAACGAAGAAAAAGTGGAGATTCCCATAAATAAAAATTCAGCAATATGTCTCAGAGCTGCCACATATTTTCCTGCAAAGGTCAACAAACAAGCTGCAGCCTTCCTGGATAAATATGAGATTATAAAAAGCATACATGTGGGTGTCTGATTTCTGCTGAAACAAATTTGCACCCAAATGAAAAGCTGCATTTTTCTGCCATCATTAATCCCCGCTTTTTCTACCATCCCCTGAAGCGCTCAGCCATCACGCCTGCAGCCATTTCTGACCTTCTCGGCGTTGTATATGAGGGAGTAGTCCGAGTTGACGAAGAGGATGTTCTCAGGCTTCAGGTCAGTGTGAGTCAGCTTGTTGTCATGGAGAACTGCAGAGGAAACGGGAGGGAAGTTCAGATGAGGAAGTTCATCATGAGCAGACACCTCAAATGTGGTTGATTGTAGACAGCTGGATGTGACAGATTTACAGCAGCGAATTAAATGTTAGTAGATAGGATATTACAAAGATTATATATCAGAAACCCGAATGAAGCCACTCTGTCTGATGAAGTGTTGGTTTAATTAAAGCAGAGGACTCTTTGATGGTGCGATGCGTTCCAGCTGAGGAGTAACCTCCATGGCCGAAAACTGAACCCGAGGTGAAGCTGCCAAAAACTACAGCTTCTCTAATGGCCACTTGAGGCCAGTTCCAAAAGCAAGTCAATCCCCATGACCCCATGTGTTAAGACACATGTTTACAGTACAAAAAACCTTCGGCTTCTGTGGATAGTTTCCACTTTCATAACAACGCTATGGAGCTGACCTTTTTGTAATAACTCATCCACTTGGATACTAGAGTTAAGGATGTTGCTGCTTTGATTGGCAGGTCTCCCAACACATGCAGCTGGAGCCGAGTGGCATTTGAGTTTTTAAAAAAGCTTTTAAATAGAGAAATTTAATATTATTACATCCTGTGTGGTACAGCCCAGCTTCAGGTTTAGTTTGCAATATCTGTGCATTGCACGTGCATCTAAAAATGTGATACCTCTTGTCTCCAAAAAACGAAAAACAAAAACATTTCAATGACCAAAAAAGTAGCATTAAACTAATCTAAACCAATGTGTGAAGTCACAGTGGATGAACCCATCTTCTATAAAATCTGTGGTTGCAGCTCATCTTTTGTGCTGTTTATGTTTAAATATTTAGGAGTGCATGCTCTGCTTTTATTTTGGAGAATCGTAGGCCGTGGTTTACAGCATCCTGTCTCATTCTGAAGTTAATTTGCCAGCATGATATCAAGCAAATGATACCATGTTATGGCTACATAACAAATGGTTGTACTGAATATGAAATTAATATTTGATATGACTAAATTATAAATAGCAGACTTGTCTGAGATTTGCAAATGATTGCGTTCGGTTATTGACTAGAATTAATCACTGGATGATATCAATCATCGTGAATGAAATCAATCACTCACTGCCCTAACTGCTCCTGCGTCTTGCTCTAATTTGCCGTGTTTAATCTGCTTAGTCTCATCCCTGGCATTGATGCAGAGGTGCAGCAGAAAAGGGAAAGTGGTGCTGCACACTCTGTATGATGCATATTGGACTCACAGCTGACAGCGTGGCAGATCTGCTGGGCCATGTGTCGGATCTGGTTAATTGGATACGGCAGGAAGTTGTTTGATTTCAAGAAGTCAAATGTGCTGAGAGACAGCAGCTCAAAGGAGATGCACACATGGCCGTAGTAGTTAAACCAGTTGAGCATCTGCACGCAGTTACTGATGAGGAAGAGAAACAGAGGGTGAAACATAAAGCACATGAAACGGGTAACAGCGTTTCAATCACAGACTCACTGTTTGTTGTGCGGATCCTTCTCACTGATCTTCTCCAGGACGTTGATTTCCAATTTGGCTGCTTCTCTGTATTTGTCCTGGTTCTTAATGATCTTCAATGCAATTTGATTTCCTCCTCTGTTTTTAAACACTGTTTTTAAAAAAAAAAAAAAAAACCCCCCCCCCCCCACACACACTGCACATTGATTCAACTTGAAACTTCTGATGAAAAACCTACCTGCTGTGGTCCACACACTGAACCACTTTCCCAAAGGTCCCCTCACCTAAAGTGTCGACTATCTCATCTGCAAGACAGATAAAGATCAGCTTAATGACGGAGCACCGTAACGAGGCTGCTTACTCTTCCTACATCTGTGCTGCAACCTACATCTGTCTTCAAGGACGTCACCACTTTTGTAGATCAGGTGACCATTTTCAGAGTCCCTCTCACTGTCATTTGCAGCCCGGTCACTTCTTCTCTGCAAACAAAGTCAGCCACATTCATGACAAGGTGGAGCAAAAGATCAAAAAAACATCAACCTGCTTCTGTCACACCCCACCTAAAAACACACCGAGTAACATCTGACCTCTGGGTCTGTAAGGAGAAAGGTCACCAGCTGGACATACCCGTGCACTCAAGCTTGCATGGTTACAGAAGCTCACACAGCTTTGTGTACATCCTCCTGCCGAGGCTGTCCTAATGCAGCCATGATTAATGCATTAAGGTCGATCTCAAAGACCTGAGCCTGCCGTAAAGGGGGCTCATAAGAAAATGCCAGATGACTCTCTTTGGAGGAGCTGAGGCTCTATTTCCATCCACATTCTGAGACTGTTATTAATATCAGAAGCTCAGCATGTGAGTAACTGACACTTAGCGCAGGACATGGGCCACTGACATACATAAACACAACCAATCTGCACATTCATTGTTAGAAAGCTGGTGATCTTTAAGAGATCAACACATAGTGCAGCTGGTTAAAAGTAAATCACACAGACTTAGAAAGAGACACAAAAACATGCTCAAAGAATGCAGATACTCACAGAAAGGCAGAGGCAAATACAGTCCAGAAAACCCTTAAACAGAGAATGCAGCTCTGTCTTTCCCATTGCACAGCAGTGCAGATCTACTCAGAGAAAAGACGAGAGTGGAAGAGAGGCGGATGGAGGGATGCTGCACGGGAGGTGAAGGCGAGATGCAGGTGAGGTAGCGGCAGGAACAAAAGGCGATGAGGAAATGTGGAGAGGAAAAGCGCCAAGGTCAGCACGATAAATAGTCAAGTAGCAGCACGGGAACAAACTGGAGGACGAGGAGTTGTGAAAAAGTAAAAAATAGCCTGCAGTGTTGTCAGCTGAAACCAGAAGTGAAAGGAAGACACGATGCCGAAGCTTCACCACGAAAGTGACAAAAGAAGAAAGAATATCTTAGGGAGAATAGAGAAAAAGTAAAAGGCAAACACTGAAAGTAAGCGAACACGACAGCTGAAGCAGACAAACACAAAAAGTGAGGAACAGACGGACAGAGAGGAGGGCGAGCTGAGACAGACGCTAAGAATAAACTTTGGTCACAACCCCCTGAGAAAGTTTTCAGATGAGAATCAAGATGTGGGCACAGGGGCTGAGTGGATCCAGTTTCACTCAACTTACTTCCTCTCCTCCTTGCACCTCCTTAACCCCGGCGGTATGATTTTCCACACCCGTCCTCCTCCGCACGCTACATATACTTTGTTGCGTGCATGCGGCGCCCGCTTTCGTCACAGAAATAACTCACAGAGGTCACAAAAATTCATTTATTTTGCAGTTCAACAGAACACAGCACAGTTCAACTGAGTGCACAGAACAACAACGACAACACTTCTGTTTGATTGCAGATAAAACAATAAAAATTGTTAAAATATTTATCAGAAATCTCATAAACCTGGTAGCACTAAGGAACAATTATAAAAACAACACTTAATCGCATTAAAAGCTCCATAAAATGCTTTTTAAACCCTTCTCGTGAAATGATCTCTCACAAAACACCGCTTTGTATTTATGATGCTGTTGAACACGAAGTTTCCAGTCTGGCTTTAAGACGGGACGAGTCCGATCAGGAGGCTCAGCGCTGCTTCGCTGCTTCCATGTTACAAAGTCAGATGTATTTCTTCATAGTTGGAGCCACGAAATATGAAGATGTCACCATAAGGCTCATCCTGCTCCACACGCAGCTTCCTGGCAGATAAAGATGCTACCCACCAACACAACACACACACACATAAACGGTCACTGGAGCACAGAAAAGATCTCATGTTTTTAAAGCAAATTACTTTTCCATGAATGTACACAAGTCACCAGTATGTTTGTTCATCAGTTCATTCCTAAAGCTTCCACTAGTGACACTGTTTGTTATTTCAACCTTTATAAACTGAAGGTCACGGGCCAGGGACCGCCACAGCCTTGGCGCTGTACCATTAATACAATTTTAACATGAGTGACATGACAGTTCGATGATAAGTGAAAGTGCCTGCTTACCCAGAAGCCGCTGAAAAACATTGCTGACACTTTTGCGGTTGACCTCGGGCGGCAAGAGGGACTGAAAAAGCAGAGGCTCTACTTCACCTTCGGCCAATTCTGGCAGCAACCTGGCAACAAACAAACCACATTCCTGTCTCCAAATCGAACTCAAACATCGGGAGACACTAAAGAGAGAGTCGTCTCTGTTTTTCTGCTGGTTATTACCGAGGTGACTCCGCGGCTACTCTCCCAGGCAACTCGTCCGACACCTCTGGGATGTCCCTCAGTGTAGAAATAGACCTGGAGAGAGTGGACCTGCCAAATGATGGGTGCACATGAGTGTGATTGCTCACACACACACACACCTGCACATCAACACACACAGAGATCTTCTTTGATACTTACTTACCCTTCGGATAGATATAAGGGGGAGATCTCCCGAGACACCTCTCTCTGGTCACTGCCCTCCAGTGGCAGTGCACCCTGGGCTGGATGTATACATGCATATTAAAATGAATGCATCTTATCGTATTTTAAAAGCCATTAGTGTTACACGCCTGACCTGACCTCTGACCTCAGGCTCACCCCATGTGAATGCACAGAAGGTTTTAGCTTGTGCCAAATAAATCTGCAATGCTAACACACTGAGGACAAAATGTTACATCCAGTTAAGCTATAACACACACACACACACACACACACACACACACACACACACACACACACACACACA